ATCCTTCAGATGATCAATTAGTTAATCTATCTTTGTGCTTTGATTTTTTCTTTTCTTTTTTTTTCTTTTTTTGAAGATTAAAAGGCAAACAAAAATTTGTAAGGAATTGTTGCAAGAAAGGAAGAAAAGCTTGGATGGTGACATAAGATAAAATGCAATAAGGCAGAGATAATTTTAATCTTTCTTATTACTGTCACAATATGCTTCGTAATACTGGAACGAACCGATACCGAATAATACAATTATTCATCGAATCGCAGAAATCGCCCTTATAACTTTCCAAACTTAATTTATTCATTTTTTTGCATAAAGTAATTACTAAAGAAATCATTCAGATCACAAATAAAAGAGTAAGTAATAATAAAATATTAGTTGAAAAAGAAAATATAATTAACTAAGCATTATATCAAAGTGAGAAAAAAAATAAGCAGATAAATTGATTGATTAATCGACTGATAATCGACCAATAAGCAGATAAATTGATTGATTAATCGACTGATAATCGACCAATAAGCAGATACTTCGGGATTTAAACAGTTCAAATGATAAACAAAAGTTAGGAATGGCTTGGAAAGCCTTTTTTAGAAATTTCATGATAAAGCACTTGCAATAGCAAATGTAACGTTTCAATGCAATGAAACTTGTTAAAAAGGCCAGAAGAGATGTTTTTTTGCATGCTAATTTGCTCCTATAAGGCTTAACATTGAAATTAAATGAAATAATTAAGTAAAAAAGCTAACAAAATGATAATGATATCATGGAACACAACAAAACTAGTGAGGTAAAACTACAGTATACTGATACAGATAGCAAAGACAACAATGGTTCAAAAAACTGTATACATCTTCTCATCGATCTTCTGCATACATTAATGTGTTTGTGACGAATTTGTTTTGTTATAGAATATTTGCGCATACGTATGTATTAATAGCATATCAGGCGACATATGTTGATCATTGTCAATATATGTCACTTCCATGGGAATGTTTCATGATGCGAACACCGATTACTTTGACATTACTCCTAAATGCGGCTTCGACACCTGCAATAGTTATCGAGAGAATTGTTGCCACACATTTTTCATCCAGATATGAGAAATTTGGCAAAAGTATCGCTGTTATACTTGTCATAGGACAGGTGCGAAGAAGAATTTCAATTTGTTTTCAATCTTTAATGCAAATTTAATTTAATATTTTTATAACATTTTAAGGTAATCGAAAATTTGAAGTATTTTGTAAACTAAACTTTGATTCTATTATATGTAAATGAAATGTATAAAGTCGTCTAATAATTTGGGTGAAGAAATGATATAAAGAGACACTACCGATTCTTTGAGAGTGGCCAAATGATAACTTTAAAATGTTTCAATATATAACATGAGATAGTAGCCTTCAATATTGATAATGCTTTAAAACTACTTTCTAATTTTAATATTTCAGTTAGCCATTGGTGTTGGAAGTTTTCTGTTTATTGTTAGCAATTTTAAAATATTCGATACGGAAAAAGTGGTTTACTGCTCAACGGCTAATGAAGGAAATGCACTAAAATCTGCCATCATTTTCGGCTTTTATATGACCATCGATATGCTTTCTGCTTTATCCTTTCCAGTTTTATTTTACATTAATAAGGAAATTTTTGCCATTTTCTAGTTGCAAATACATCCACTAACAGATTAATTAATTGGTTGATTGATGTAAATGCTACTTTAGTCTAAATCTTCCTTGGGAAATTGTCACCAAGTCATACACAGTTGTCATACAGATCTGATTAATACATTGAACAGATATTTGTGTGACTGTAGTTTTATAAGAGGAAAAGTGAATTGGGAACATGAGAATGTAACAAGTAAATGTTGGAGACTCAAATAAGTTAAAGGTTAAATCAAAACTGGCTATGCATTTTTGCCCTATTACCTCAAAAATATTCTTGACATAAATTGTTCACTTACCAATACTATGGCCGCTTCGACCAATTTCTCTCTCAAAAGAATTAGAGAGAAGGATTCCAGTA